TATGGTCGCTTACTAATGCCGAAGAACGCCAGCTACATGTCGCGGAGAGCATCATGGAAAGAAGAATGTTGAAATTTCACGCCCCGACGATACCCCGGCACGGTGATCAGTAAGCGGAGTAGAGTGAAGGACTTCGTCGTCCAAAGCAGAAGGAACAAGCGACAGTGAGTCAGGCACGTATCTCGGCTTCACCGACAGAAGATGGTCACTAACTTGTATCCTCGCAGGTGGTCTAAGCAGAGGAGGTTGGGCTTGGAGGGTAAAACTCGAAGCCGCGACCTGCGCGATTCGTCACCGATTACCGGGCGGTTAAAGTGATTCAGCTGATTGATCTGTCACTCGCTTCAAACTGTTGTAATCTTGTATGTATGAACCGACTTGCTGCCTGCAACGTCGAAGTTTCTCTTATAATGGCGTTACTCCGTTTGCAACGAAATCCGTCTGCATAATTACTGATCTCCATGTTGTTGCGTGCCGTCAACCGTGAATTGGCGAATAATTTACAATCTCGAAAGGACCAGAACACAAAAATGCTGTGTCATGTTTATTAAAGTTAGAGAATTTTGAAGATTGAGTATTCGGTTGGCGTGTTAGTGCTTATATCGAAAACAGCAAAAAACAGTTTATTGATGCACAACGCAAACAATTTTGTCTATCGGATGATGGATCCGTGCCGAATTTCAGTCAGTGAGTCACGGGACTTCTGTAAAGTAGAGAGGTGGGTTAGCTTTGATAGTCATTCTTGTCGTTTGCAGCAATTCGAAGCTTCAGAAACAGAAAGCCCAAACACTCTTTTGGCTACAATCACTGCACTGAAGTGTCAATTAAAATATTTTCAGTAAAAGTTTTATAAATCGGTGTAGTGAACAGTCATGGAAAGTTAAAATCTTTAAATAAATGGAAAATACATTAGCTGTATCTGGAAGGAGTCTGTTCCAAACTTCAGTTGTCTTCTGCCAAAGCTCAGACCCTGGCTCAGGATCGGGACCGTTGAAAGCACTGTCTGACGTGTTTGCCTCCGCGACCTGAAAGGAGAAACGGCCACGGAGTATGAAGATGAGATGCATTGACTTTCTTATAGTCAAATCTGTTTAACTGTGATTGTCACTGACTGAAAATGTGGATGTCCTGAAAACGCAAAGATACGAGGATTTACGAATATTGTTTGTTAGCTTGTTACTGATGTGAGAAAAGCAAGAAGAAGATCAAGAGTTCTTGGCAATCCTGAGTTTATATCATGCATATGCGTTTTTCAGCTACAGATTTCTGCTTGGACAGAAATCATGAACGGGCCAGCAGTAAGAAATGCAGAGTATGCAGTTTATTGGCTCTCTTCAATTCTGAAGCGGTTTCGATGGTTGGCGTAGAATCTGTTCCGCGTACTTGAAGTATTTAAAAATCGAATGGAATGCCGGTCTTCCGCATACTTTCATGATGAGGAAATTGATAGCGCCCATTTCTTGTGAAGTTAATGGTGGATCGCCGACTTTCATCTCCATGCCGTCAACCAGGGGTGCCTCATTTTAAAGATATAATGCGTTGATAGTAGCTATATGGCAAACGTAGTGTGGCAATTTTGTTTTGCTTCTCATAGATGGATACTCATTTACCAACCTCGGAAAGACGAAAGGCGAGTGACCTGGACTCGAACCCGCAGTACCTCAGTTCTTGAGAGACGCTCTACAGACTGAACGACCCTAGTGCATTTAAATAGAAATATAGTACGGTGATACACATGGATAGTTTATGCTGCTAGGCGTATAAAGACGTCTCATTTTCATAAGCGAACTTGTTTGCCGACGGATTTATCTTCTAACTACTCGCAGTGATGAAAGAAACGGTGTATTTAATTTTTAGATCGAGAAATGTCCTCCATGTCATTTGTATGCGTTGCCTGCCCAAGTGTTGTGTAACATTCTCTACTAAGCATGTGCTTAAAAGTTTCGCATTCTTCCAGCAGGCATGCATCCTAGCGTAAGCCTGGAAAATAATACACGAATTTTGCGACCACTGGAACGATGGCATTCTGTCACGCTGGCAAAGAAACCTTTAAAGGGTTCTGGAATTTCTGTGATAAATAGAAGTTCATCATCTACCGTTTGAAACAATTTGTCCAATGACTTGTAGCCCTTGCTGACCTATTCCGGAATACTTAACTATTCGAACAACGCTGATTATTGCGAATTAGGAAATACAACCAGTATGATAACAAATCATCGATTAGAACTGCCTTAGTTCTAGACAAAGCGCTACTAACCGCTAGCATCGACAAAGGTTACTTTTTCGGACAACGCAATTAAAATTATACTTTGCACGCTTGAGGCTCGACGTTATCATCAGTATCATCTCGTCCTTGCGACAGGGGGCAGGGTGAAATACACTTCGTGTTCCCATTTTGCCGCTACGGTCGCCGTGAAAGCCTATAGTTAACCATGACACGGTCAACTAATATGGTTCTGGAGTCATAACCACAAAGTGACTGGGAAGCGGCTGCCACTTCTTAGCCGGTCGGCAAATGAGCTCTACTCTGTAGAAGCCAATGATAGCCTCTGATTTGCAAGCAGGCACCTGATCACATTGAAGTAACATAACTCCTCTATTGCATTCTACGCATCCCTTGCTCCAAGGTGACAAAGTATAAAGGCAATTAACCAGATGACATATGAACTCACACTATCGCATCAAAGTTTCGACTCCTGGCTTGTTAACGTGGTGTCCCGAGGACATTTACTCGATTAGATGAACATGATGATGATGATGATGACAAGTTAGCTTGGCAGTAAGTTTACTTAGGACAGAGTTCC